GGCGGCGGCGGGCGGGGGCCTGGACGGCGGCGGCGGCGAAGGGGCGGCCGAGCCCCCCCGGGAGTTACGCTGTAGCGACTGCATCGTGTGGAACCGGCAGCAGACGTGGCTGTGCGTGGTGCCTCTGTTCATCGGCTTCATCGGCCTGGGGCTCAGCCTCATGCTCCTCAAATGGATCGTGGTGGGCTCCGTCAAGGAATACGTGCCCACCGACCTGGTGGACTCCAAGGGGATGGGCCAGGATCCCTTCTTCCTCTCCAAGCCCAGCTCCTTCCCCAAGGCCATGGAGACCACCACCACGACCACTGCGACCACGTCCCCTGCCACCCCCTCCGCCAGCGGCGCCGCGTCTTCCAGGACTCCCAACCGGATTAGCACCCGCCTGACCACCATCACGCGGGCTCCCACTCGCTTCCCAGGGCACCGGGTGCCCATCCGGGCCAGCCCGCGCTCCACCACGGCACGGAACACCGCAGCCCCCTCGACGGTCCTGTCCACGACAGCCCCCTTCTTCAGCAGCAGCACACCAGGCTCCCGCCCCCCGGTGCCAGGAACCCCCAGTACCCAGCCAATGCCCTCCTGGCCCACTGCGGCATACGCTACCTCTTCCTACCTTCACGACTCTACTCCCTCCTGGACCCTGTCTCCCTTCCAGGATGCTGCCTCCTCCTCCTCTTCCTCCTCTTTCTCTACCACCGCTATGCCAGCAACTAGCAGCAGCTCCAAATTTCGTGAGTAACCACTGTCTCAAGTGTGATACTCTGCCTTTCCTTTCTGCCCTCCTGCTGTTGGCTTTTCCCCTCGCCGCCTATCTTCTAGCAACCCCCAGCCCCAACCCAGTTTTGGGGCAAAGAGAGAGCTGGATAAAACTGGCCACAAGAGGGAAAAGGTGCCTGCCTGTTCTGGGTCTGTGGGGGATGGGGGGCGGCAGGAAGGGGCGTCGTCTAGTTTAACGGGCCCGACTTCAGTGGGTCCCAGATGAGAACAGATTCCCTGCCTCCTTCAAGGGGTTAACACGAGTGAGGTTCCTCCTCACTGCAGACCTGCTGGCAAGCTCAGGGGGCCTGCTCCGGAGGAGGGATGGGGAGGGGGAGGCCCTTGCAGACGCTGGTAGGTAGGAGAGGAAGAAAAGCACATGCAGATTGACGGGCGATAAGCTGCTAAGCGGAGTTATGTCCGTGGGTTGTGATGGCTTGATAGAGATGTTGGTAGAATGTAGCTGGAGATGCTTCCATCAGTCTGACCGGGGCTGGGACTGGGAAGGGTTAATTAGAAGCCATGGGGGGAAGTAGGGAAAGGAGGCGATCCACAGCTGAGGGCTAAACTGATTGTCTGCAGCCTGCCCGTGGCCGTTCCAAGGTGTAGACGCGGATTCTGTGGCCACCGAGATCCAGTTAGCTGGGGGAGAATGCGAAGGGAGCCTTGCAGAGCTGCTGCCTCTGGTCCTGAGGACGGAGGAGTTTTCTCAGCTCTGCCAAGCGTTTGCTTTTGTTCATTTCCCAAAGGTGGGGTGTGAACCTCATCTCCTCTTCCTCTGAGCCTGGAAAATGCAGGCGGATTGGGACAGAGTTCTCTGTGCTCCAGGGTGAGAACCCCCAGCCCTTTAGAAACATCTCACCGTTGGATTGTAGCATCTTCCTCCTCAGCTTCTTTGCTGGCAGTCCTGGCCACTGTGTATCCCAACCACGATAGCTTTCTGTTTACTTGTGTAGGAGGTATATAGTTTCTCCCCATTGTTGTAAATGTGTGACACTACTAATTTACCCCTCCCCCTGCCTTGTTCTTATTGAGGGAATCTCAGGAACCTTTTTCACCTGACTGTTGATCAGGCTATGGGAACAGTTCGTGCAACCTTTGAAGGTTATTTAGGACAAATCCCCAGTCTGCCAGCTCAAGTTCTGTGCAAGGCTAATGTGCAAACACTGTCTAGCTATGCTATCTCTCTGTGGCGTTTATATTTTGAACCATAGCATCTGGGGGACAAGAACTGGGCTCCTCGTTCACTCTTCAGGGTGGCAGGGAACGCCAGGTTTGCTGCCAGTCCTTTGCTGATTTTTCATTCCCCTGATCTGTGGTCCTAGCTTGGGTTTTATCTAGCCCTTGAAACTTTTTTTTTTTTTTTTTAAATTGTGGCTAAGGTCCAGGTCACAAAGCCTTTATGCTCATACCCTGCTTTGTGGGGAGGGAGGCTAGAAGATAAAGCCAGAGGTGGTGAGAAGGGAAGGAGGGAGTCTGCCACAAACCTGAACGGTAGTCAGGCCGATTAACTTGCTGCATCTCCCTCTGTTGGCCGAAGCTGTCATTTTTGGAGCGCGTTTTCTCAGAAGGTGTTTAGAGGCTCGTCTCAACAAATCTGGCCTGAGTGTTGTAGAGGAATAAAGGCTGTGTGTGTATAAGTGTGAGCACATTCACTGTGGAGAATGTGTCTCTCCCCGAGCCCCCAGCGTTCTCATCTCCTTTTCTGATGCAGTTGATGGGAAGAATGGAGGGTGCGTGTCCTCCCCAACCTTGTATATGTGTGTGGGGGAGGCGGAGTGCTTACACTGGGTTATACTGGGTATTTCGTGTTCTTTCTGAATTGATTTCCTTACCTTCCATTCCGAAGGTCTTTAAAGAAAAGCCCAAGGTAATTATTCCTACCCCTCCATGATCCCTTGCTACGTTCTGTAGAAGGGAACGGCAGCCTGTTTAATAAGTAATGATTATTGACAGGACGCTGAGCCCCAAGGAAAAGGGAAAATATCTGTAAATGGTGTCAGTGTTCCAATAGACGTATAAGCAGTGTTTGTTTTATGTGTATCTAAGGTCCAGCTCTTTCTCTTTTTAAAACCTTTAAGGGGGAGTTGAATTAAGGGATAAAACGAAGTATGCATATCCAGCAGAAATTGACCTGGTTTGCATATATCAACAAGAGAGATTTTAATGAAAGGAAGATTGTGTAGTTTCCATAAAAGGGGAGTTTAAACACGTAGGTTTTATGGTAGTTTAAAGAAAAAAGATAGTTTATTTATTCTTTAATCCAGGATTACAGGATGATTAACCAAAAGAAATAAAGATTTCATTGGTGGGATTATTAGCACTGCTACTGTGGGCTGAAGAATGGCTTGAATATCTGCCCTTCATATTTTTCACTTGTTTTGATTGTATCAGTAAAGTTCCCAGGCGAGAAATCCTCTTTTCTTCAGCTCCTACCTCCAGACTGTAATAGGGTTTTTTTCCTCTTTTTTTTATGAAACTCATGGACCGTGTTGTAGCACCTGAGGACGGCTAAGGATGATGCTGTGTTTTTGTGAGGTTTTTTTGTTTTCGTTTTTTTTTTTTTTTTTATCGTAGCCTATTCCTGCACTAAGGGCCAGGATCTTTGCTCTTGAACTGAACATCTCAAGGTTTAAAGAACGAGTGTCTTTGTGCTCATCTTGGGTGAATCAGAAGGATCCTGTCTGTAAAGGCAGCACAGCTCTTTGGAGGGAAAAAGCTGGTTCACTAGAGATACAAACACACTGAGAAGGGATAATGACGTTTCTGCAAGCAGAAGGTATTTTTACTAAGAGGAAGGCCCAGGTTAGAGGGTTGTCTCTAATTTTCTATGGGATCGAAACAAAGAAGGATTGAACCTGAAAGGCAGAGGAGAAGTAGGGCGTGGACATTGACTTTCCTCTTCCCGTCCTCCATCCTTTAGGCCGTGAGCTGGACCGGAAGTTTCTTCTCAGTTACTGGGACCTCTTGGGTTCCCAGATGCCCAGACCTTGCCTTCCCTTTAGATACCTTAAAAACAAACAACTGAAGCCTATTGCCATTAGGAGATTATTCTACCAAAAACATCTTTGAAACGTTTTGTATCTCAAAGTGTAGGCTGGTTTTCTGTTTTTGCAAGCCAAGGAGAGGTTGACTACAGACAGGCGGCAGAGGAGTGGTGATCTTGACCACTGACAGGAATAGAAACAGCCCCTCCCTGATGGCGCCTTGAGCTGTGCTGGCTTTCACACTTGAAACCTAGCTGTAGAGTGTTGTCAGTGCAAACGTGGATTGATTCAGAGACCTGGAAGTGTCTTACTCAGCTGAGAGCAGTGTCTAACAGGTAAAAGATCAGAGTCATCGGACAGATTCACATACTGGAGACAAGTAGGCATGTTTAATGGGTTATTCTCTGGCTCGTATTTGGAAGTTATGCACATTAATTCTAGTGAATAAATAAATGTAGAATGCATTATTGATATTTAAATGTGATGGGGGAATTTTGATTCAATCAAGCCTATTTAAATAAAATCTTTCTTACTGTAATTTCAAGAGAGCCATTGATAGTATCTGCTATTTTCCTATTTGTTCTTTTTAAACATCTTCAGTCCTTTACTAAAAGTATTCTTGGTTGCTTTATAAGTAGCCTCAGGTGTAATTTATTTAACTAAAATTACTCCTATACACTGGCTTCTGTGCACAGGAGAGGGGACCTTCAGAGGGAATTCCAGCACAGGAGGGACCGACCCCAGTCATGCCGGGTGGTCAGAATGAGAGGATTCAGAGCTCGAGATCAATATTTCTTAGAAAATCCAATGGAGAGCTTTTTTTTTAATGAGCACATGCGGCAACCTGGGTATGTTTTGATTTCTTGGCCTTAATACAGGATTAGGAGACTTTCCTGCTTTAATCAATTCTGTTGTACAGTTTTGCTCTTTAGACACTTGTGTTGCACATCATGGTCCTGAGGAAAGAAGGGAGGTTGGGCATGGGATTGGCAAGGCTATTCTTAGGCCCCTTTTAGCTTGGCGTCAGTGTATTAAAATAATGTGGCTTAAGGATGTTCTTTTCAGTTCCAGGTAACAGAGATAAGGGGTTGGATGGGTGATGTCCCTTTCGCAGATTTGACTTATGAATTCAGCCACCTTGTGTTTGTGCTATTTCCTGGATAGTCTGTTTTAGCACTCAGTGTTGATCCACAAGCTTGTGAGGGGGAAAAAAATGCTCTAAAATAAACTGGTTCGTGACAGCCTGTCTGCATCACTCGAGAGCCCGGCTCTTCTTCTACATCCAGCTTAGGCCTCAAGCAAGAGTGCTGGCGCCTAGTTTGAAATCCAAGCCCTACTGGCAGATTCAGTATGTAGAGGAGCAAGATCTCTCCTGCGAAGTATATGCTCAGCCCTGCCTCCTCCGTGTTCCACAAGGAAGGGAAAGCTGATTTCATCCTGCTTTTGGAGAGTCTTTCCTCATAACCCCTCATATCTAATGCCAAACATATCTCAATATTCTATCTGCTGTGTCAAAAAAGGAACGTGGAAGTTGGCCCTGAAATGTATAAGAACAAAGGAAGAGCCATAAATCTGAGTCTTCAGAATGCATGTGAATTTCTTGTGAATAGAACTGAAATTCATTTTTCTTCCTTTGAATATGTTTTTATCTTCAGACCTGTGTGTTGGGTGAGGCACAGAGCTGGTACTGCACTGACGAATCCCACTGAGACATTTTGAGATCCTAGAAATTTTACATGGCTTCACCCAGGAAGACTTCCTTACAGAGTCATGTACATAGTGAAGGCAGCGGGGGGCACATAGACTCAATCTGGACCTTTGTCATGTCAGCATGAAAACTACCTACAGAGGTGTTTCCCCTTCATGCAGATAGGAAGGAAAATGCTAGGACATTCAGTTTGGTTTTCCACTGCCCTCATTCTTTCACTGAAGACCTCATGCAGTCCTCCCTACCCAGTGTTTTCTGATACGGACCCAGGGTTCTGTCT